ACATCTACATCTGTACACCACCTCTCATTGATGTAAAAGCATGTCCCGCCGCCGCGTGATTTCCCCGTTGAAGGAATGGATAGTTAACATTAGAGCTTATTGATACTACAGTCTTTTGTAATTTAGCCCCAGGGCTCATTTAATACCGGGTTTAGGTATCCATTCCTACTTACAAGAGAAGCAAAGAAGGATCAGTTACAAAGCTACATGGCAGCATATCTTGCATCTGCGTTTCCAAAATACATTAAGCAGAAGAATAACGCACTCATTTTAAAAACAACAAAGAACAAGTTTAAAAATAAATCTCAGTCTCTCTTAAAGTGTTAAAATCTCTTCTTCAGCTTCCTGAACAAGAAGAGTTTGTAAAAAGCTTCTACTTTCCTCCATGAAAGAGTAAGCAAACTACAAGTGACACATGCATTATAAGACAATTGAACATAATATGAAACTCATAAGAAAACACAATGATATTTATATCATGAATCAAAATGATATGCAATAATAAAACATTTTGACATTGTTGTTTGGGGAGGAACTCCATCTTTTAGTTGAACTGAATCTCACAGTTGAATCTGCTGGTTTTGAAGATGAAGATAAACTTTATTCACTGTGAAAACTTTAGATAATGTTTCTTTGTCATATCACTTGTAATGACTGGTTAGAACAGATTAATCCAGATGATATTCTATTGCTTAATGCATTATTGTTTCAAGTTTGATGAGAAGGCAGCATCAGATCTAAAAGTGCTGGATCTGTAGATGATCTAGTTACTGTGAATGCTTTTTGTATGACTGTGTAGAGCAGATGAACGATTGAAACACTTCCCACATGCAGTGCAGTGATACGGCTTCTCTCCAGTGTGGATCCTCTCATGTGTTTTCAGATTTGATGACACACTGAATCTCTTGTCACAGTGTGAACACTCATAAGGTTTCACTCCAATGTGGATCCTCTCATGTGATTTCAGATTTGTTGACTTATTGAATCTCTCGTCACAGTGTGAACACTTATAAGGTTTCACTCCAATGTGGATCCTCTCATGTGTTTTCAGGTCTCCTGACCTATTGAATCCCTTGTTGCAGTGTGAACACTTATAAGGTTGCTCTCCAGTGTGGATGCTCATGTGTTCTTTAACATGTACTGATTGTGTGAAACTCTTCCCGCACTGATCACAAGTGTATGGTTTCTCACCAGTATGAACTCTCATGTGACCATCAAGACTATATTTGCATTTCAAACTTTTTCCACAAAGATTACATGTGTACAGTTTCTCTCCTGTATGAACTTTCATATGTGTCATAAGGCTTCCTTTTCGTGCGAAACTCTTCCCGCACTGATCACATGTGTACGGTTTCTCTCCAGTGTGGATCCTCTCATGTGTTTTCAGGTATCCTGACTGACTGAATCTCTTGTCACAGTGTGAACACTTATAAGGTTTCTCTCCAGTGTGGATGTTCATGTGTACCTTAAGGTTTGCGAAGTGTGCAAAACTCTTTCCACATTGATTACATATGAACAGTTTCTCTCCTGTATGAACTCTCATATGTGCCGTAAGGCTTCCTTTTTGTGTGAAACTCTTCCCACACTGATCACATGTGTGCGGTTTCTCTCCAGTGTGGACTACCTTGTGTTTCTTCAGATGTGTTGATCGACTGAATCTTTTGTCACAGTGTGAACACTTGTACTGTTTCTCTCCAGTGTGGATGTTCATGTGATCCTTAAGGTGTGTTAAGTGTGCAAAACTCTTTCCACATTGATTACATATGAACAGTTTCTCTCCTGTATGAACTCTCATATGTGCCGTAAGGCTTCCTTTTTGTGTGAAACTCTTCCCACACTGATCACATGTGTGCGGTTTCTCTCCAGTGTGGACTAACTTGTGTTTCTTCAGGTCTCCTGACCGACTGAATCTCTTGTCACACTGTGAACACTTGTACTGTTTCTCTCCAGTGTGGATTTTCATGTGTACCTTAAGGCTTAACGATTGTGTGAAACACTTCCCGCACTGATCACATGTGAATGGTTTCTCTCCAGTATGAATTCTCAAGTGAACATCAAGATTATATTTGCTCGTCAAACTCTTTCCACACTGAGTGCAGGTGAAAGATTTCTTGGCTCCTCTTTTCTTTAAATCTTTCTGTTTGGTTTGAGGGCAACTCAAATGTTTTTCTCCAGTTTTGACATGATTTTTCTCCTGAACTTCATTTAATTCTTCATTCTCCTCACTTTCGTCAATAAACTCTAAAATAAAAGCAAAAACAGTTCATTTGTCAGTAACTTGGAAAAAAAAGAGATACGCGAAAGTACATAAAAGTGAACCCTGTTGTAACAGAGTAGACAATTTCGATAATTTTTTTTTCCTTTTGATGCAATTTTATAAATTATACTTCCCTGAAACTTTTCATGAATGAGTTACATTGATGTTCAAAATATTATTTTTGAAACATTATAGAAACAAATCCCATGTTTTTATAAGGATAACTATTAAATATGTTTGATCAACTACAAAATTATCTAAAACATTTTGTTGAAAAAAAGTGTCCCTTATTATTTGCTGCTTCATCTATATTATTCAACAGCTCTAACGTTTCTATTACAACAAACTAAATCTAAAACTGCTTGAAACTTTATAACTGTCACTATTGTTAACCTTCTGGGGTCGAAGACCACACTGGTGCGGTCTGTCATGTTTTTTCTTGATGAACCGCAAAAAGAACTAAAAATACTCTGTAATTTTTGATCGTTCAGATACGAATAAGGTATCGTTTAAAACCGCAAAGGGTCTACTTTTATCTGAGTATAGTCATAATAACAACAAAACAATGTGCTTTTGTAAAATAAAGAAAATAAACAGGGTGCGCTCTAGGGTTGGGCGATGTCGACCAATCTGGCATCGTATTTTATTGTAATTTGTAATATATTTATTATCAAACACCTATGATCCGACCCGCATGTTCTTTATTTTGCCCATAACCAAACCCGTAAATAAAGTTAACACACAAAATGCCACCTGCCAATCACTTTTGTTTGCGGGACCCTGGTGTGAAGTAGGCATAGTGATCTAATAATGGCATTGACAAACTTGGTTGGTAAAATAGGGACCTATACTTCGCCTATCTGGCAATATTTTGGCTTTAGACCTAATGAAAGAGGACAGCCAAGAGACACGTCTGAAGTGGTGTGCAGGATTTGTGCTCTTGTAATCCACACAAAAGATGGACAGACGACAAATTTACATGACCATTTGCATGTGCACCATCCCGCGGAATACAGTTCATTGCCAATGTCATCACGAACAACTGAACTTCACAAAACAGCTAGGGACCAACCAACCATATCTGAGGCTTTTGCCAAAAGTATAAAGTACAAGCGTGACAGCGAAAGATGGAAGCAGTGTACTGATGCTGTAATTTGCTACCTAGCAAAATAAATGGTTTCTTTTAATATGGTAGAGAAGAGCGCATTTAAGGCCATGCTGCAAACATTCGACAAGCAGTATGAGCTGCCAGGTCGGAAATTCTTCTCAAATATATGCCCAATAAAACAGTCCCAAAGTTGTACAACGTCATCAGAGCATATATTTCAGCAGTGCTAGATGATGTGGAATATTTGGCCCTGACAACTGACATGTGGTCCAGCTGAAACATGATGCCTTACATGTCAGTGACCGCACATTATGTCAGCAAAGAGTGGACACTAGGATCGAAATGCCTACAAACAAGCTTCATGCCAGAAAGCCATACAGCCGACAACCTGAAAGAGGCATTGCGGGAGAGTATACATGAATGGAAAATAGATGAAAGAAAAATCTCCTGCATAACTACTGATAATGGGGCCAATAGTGTTGCCGCCATCAGACAATTAAAATTACCTTGGTTAAGTTGTTTTGGTCACAATCTGGACATTGCTATAAACAACTCACTTAAGCAGAAGCAGGCCAGCACTGATCAGGCTTTTGGGGTTTGCCGGGCAGTCAACACTGCTTTTTCCCACAGCTGGTGGAGACGTGAGCTGATCTAAGCACAAGAGGAGCTGAAACTCCCTCAGCACTCCTTGATCGCAGTCATTTTAAAAAGTTATTGCAACTACATTAATAAGTGTTCCTACACGTAAAACCATAAATGTTCATATTAAACAGCAATGCGGTCCGTGTACCTACGTATAATTCGTTTTTTAATTTAATATTGAAATCAGCAAAATTGAAAAAAACGGCACATTTTCGTTTTTCATTTGTTCAAACAAAACGAAAAATCAAGAGTTCTGCTTCATTTTTAATTTTTACGTTCAGGGACAGAAAACGAGTAAACTACTTGAATATTCTATCTCTACCTGTGGGCGGGAGTGAAACGCCCCTCTCCGCTGATTGGTCAAGCAAACATTACAACATAATAATAGTCCTTAAAAAACATAATAAGAGTCCTCCGCTTCTACGGATTCTTGACATGTTTATTATTTCTACAACATTTGATCTCTTTCTCTTCATCAAACAGCCATATTAATGAATGGCTTGACACAAACCGTACTGAGCCAAACCGTTCCTCAGAGTGCTTGTTTCAGTGATTGACTTTAGTGAAATGTGAATTTGACGTCATGATTTGAAGGTGAACTC